CGTGTCAGCGGATGGGTCTATGAAAGATGAGGTGAATCATAGAATTGATGAGGGAAAAAGAGTGAGTGGTGCACTTAGGAGTCTGTGGAGACAAAGAACTTTGTCCTTGGAGGCAAAGAGGGGAATGTATGAGAGTATAGTTTTACCAATGCTCTTATATGGGTGTGAAGCGTGGGTGATGAATGTTGCAGCGAGGAGAAGGCTGGAGGCAGTGGAGATGTCATGTCTGAGGGCAATGTGTGGTGTGAATATAATGCAGAGAATTCGTAGTTTGGAAGTTAGGAGGAGGTGCGGGATTACCAAAACTGTTGTCCAGAGGGCTGAGGAAGGGTTGTTGAGGTGGTTCGGACATGTAGAGAGAATGGAGCGAAACAGAATGACTTCAAGAGTGTATCAGTCTGTAGTGGAAGGAAGGCGGGGTAGGGGTCGGCCTAGGAAGGGTTGGAGGGAGGGGGTAAAGGAGGTTTTGTGTGCGAGGGGCTTGGACTTCCAGCAGGCATGCGTGAGCGTGTTTGATAGGAGTGAATGGAGACAAATGGTTTTTAATACTTGACGTGCTGTTGGAGTGTGAGCAAAGTAACATTTATGAAGGGATTCAGGGAAACCGGCAGGCCGGACTGAGTCCTGGAGATGGGAAGTACAGTGCCTGCACTCTGAAGGAGGGGTGTTAATGTTGCAGTTTAAAAACTGTAGTGTAAAAGCACCCTTCTGGCAAGACAGTGATGGAGTGAATGATGGTGAAAGTTTTTCTTTTTCGGGCCACCCTGCCTTGGTGGGAATCGGCCGGTGTGATAATAAAATATATATATATATATATATATATATTATATATATATATATATATATATATATATATATATATATATATATATATATATATTACCTAGTAAAACCTGGTAAAGTGTATGGTAGAGTTATTATTGAAAGAATTAAGAGTAAGACGGAAAGCAGGATAGCAGATGAACAAGGAGGCTGTAGGAAGGGTAGGGGGTGTGTACACCAAGTGTTTGCAGTGAAACTTGCTGGTGAATCGTATTGAGATAAGGGTAAAGAGGTTTTTGTGGCATTTATGGAAAAGGCGTATGAGAGGGTGGATAAGGGGATAATGTGGCAGATGCTGCAAATGTATGGAATAGAAGGTAGATTACTGAAAGCAATTGAGGATCTTTACGAGGATAGTGAGGCTCAGGTTAGAGTATGTAGGCGAGAGGGAGATTATTTCCCAGTAAGAGTAGGCCTTAGACAGGGATGTGTGATGTCACCATGGTTGTTCAATATATTTATAGATGGAGTTGTAAGAGAAGTGAATGCTCAGGTGTCGGCAAGAGGTGTGGGGTTAAAAGATAAAAAATCTAACACAAAGTGGCAGTTGTCACAGTTGCTCTTTGCTGATGACACTGTGCTTTTGGGAGATTCTGAAGAGAAGTGGCAGAGGTTGGTGGACGAGTTTGGTAGGGTATGTAAAAGAAGGAAATTAAAAGTGAATATAGGAAAGAGTAAGGTGATGAGGATAACAAAAAAATTAGGCAACAGAAGACTGGATATCAGATTGGAGGGAGAGAGTATGGAGGAGGTGAATGTATTCATATACTTGGGAGTGGACGTGTCAGCAGATGGGTCTATGAAAGATGAGGTAAATCATAGAATTGACGAGGGGAAAAAGGTGAGTGGTGCACTGAGGAGTCTGTGGAGACAAAGAACTTTATCCATGAAAGAAAATGTATGAGAGTATAGTTATACTAACGCTCTTATATGGGTGTGAAGCATGGGTGGTGAATGTTGCAACAAAGAGAAGGCTGGAGGCAGTGGAGATGTAATGTTTGAGGGCAATGTGTGGTGTGAATATAATGCAGAGAATCCGTAGTTTTAAGATTAGGAGGCGGGCCGGGATTACCAAAACTATTATCCAGAGAGTTGAGGAGGAGTTACTGAGATGGCTTGGACATGTAGAAAGGGTGGAGCGAAATAGAATGACTTCGAGTGTATAAATCTGTAAAGGAGGGAAGGCGGGGTAGGGGTTGGCCTAGGAATGGTTGGAGGGAGGGGGTAAAGGAGGTTTTGTGTGCGAGAGTAACATTTATGAAGGGATTCAGAGAAACCGGCAGGCCGGATTTGAGTCCTGGAGACGGGAAGTACAGTGTCTGCACTCTGAAGAAGGGGTGTTAATGTTGCAGTTTAATAACTTTAGTGTAAGCATGCCTCTGGCAAGACAGTGATGGAGTAAATGATGAAAGTTTTTCTTTTTAGGCCACACTGCCTTGGTGGGAAACGGCCGATGAGTTAATAAAAATACACACACACACACACACACACACACACACACACACACACACACACACACACACACACACACACACACACACACACACACGCGCGCGCGCGCGCACACACAGACACATATATACATATACATTTATATATATATATATACATATATATATATATATATAAATATATATATTATATATATATATATATAAATATATTATATATATATATATATATATATATATATAATATATATATATATATATATATATATATATATATGTCGTGATGAATATGTAAAACTGGTCAATTAGCAAGAACTCATTTAAAATTAAGCCCTTTCTAAAATTTTCTCTTATACGTTTAAAGGCATTTTTTTTTCATTAATGTTAATATAAAAATTTGTAACTTAGCACCAAAAGAATCTTAGAAAACTTACCTAACCTTATTATAACAAGCGTAATTTAATTTAGCCTAATCCAACTAAATATATTTTAGATACGTTTACAATAACTTAAAAATAAACAAACAAAATGAAATATATTTTTTTTCGTTAGGCTCAGAATGATTTTTGCGAAATTATTGCATACACAAATTTTTGCTTGTCTTATATGGCAAGATAAACTTTGCTATTTAAGCCAAGATCGCAAGTTCTGCCTATTCGCCGGGGAGCTGGACGAAGTATTCGAGATGTAGCTCTGAGTTGTTATCTATGTTGTTTTACTTTCTATTTTATTTTTGTGAATGTTTTGTCTATGTATTTTGCCTTTAAATAAAATATATATTAAATATAGGAGGTGGTAGGCGAAAATTCTCAGCTTCAGGGACAACCTTGAGTTTTCCCTGAAGCAAGTTTATTCTTTTCTCTGAGGATGAGGGTCCCTAGGACTGTACTAGAGGTGGTGCCTCCCTATATATATATATATATATATATATATATATATATATATATATATATATAAAATATATATATATATATATATATATATATATATGTCGTGCCGAATAGGCAGAACCTGCGATCTTGGCTTAAATAGCAACGCTCATCTTGCCATACAGGACAAGTGAAAATTTGTGTATGCAATAATTTCGCCAAAATCATTCTGAACCTAACGAAAAAAAAATATTTGATTGTGTTTGTTTAGTACTAAATTATTGTAAAAGTATTTAAAATACATTTAGTTGGGTTAGGCTAAAATAAATTGCTCTTGTTATAATAAGGTTAGGTAAGTTTTCTAAGATTCCTTTGGCGCAAAATTAAATTTTTTTACATTAACATTAATGAAAAAAAAGTCTTTAAAAGTATAAGAGAAATTTTCAGAAAGGACTTAATTTTAAATGAGTTCTTGCTAATTGACCAGTTTTACATATTCGGCACGATATATATATATATATATATATATATATATATATATATATTATATATATATATATATATATATATATATATATATATATATTGGGAGGCACCACCTCTAGAACTGTCCTGGGCAAGCAGGCAGGCAGTGCATGAGGAAGATGGTGTTGAACCACTGACTGGTGGTGTTGGGGACAGGTGAGCAAGTGGAGGAGATACTGGTTGTACCGAGCATGAGGAGACGAGGTACTGACTGACTGCATGTGTCGGAAGCAGCGTTGAGAATGGAGGAGGAAGTGCTGATGGCTGGTGGTGGAGGGTGAGGTTCAGGAGGTACTGGATGGTGAGGTTCAGGAGGTACTGAATGGTGTTAGAGGGTGGGGTTCAGGAAGACTGAATGGTGTTGGAGGGTGAGGGTCAGGAGGTACTGAATGGTGTTGCTGGAAGGTGAGGTTCAGGAAGTATTGAATGGTGTTGCTGGAGGGTGAGGTTCAGGAGGTACTGAATGGTGTTCCTGTAGGGTGAGGTTCAGGAGGTACTGAATGGTGTTACTGGAGGGTGAGGTTCAGGAGGTACTGAATGGTGTTACTGGAGGGTGAGGTTCAGGAGGTACTGAATGGTATTGCTGGAGGGTGCGGTTCAGGAGGTACTGAATAGTGTTGCTGTAGGGTGAGGTTCAGGAGGTACTGAATGGTGTTGCTGTAGGGTGAGGTTCAGGAGGTACTGAATGGTGTTACTGGAGGGTGAGGTTCAGGAGGTACTGAATGGTGTTGCTGTAGGGTGAGGTTCAGGAGGTACTGAATGGTATTGCTGAAGGGTGCGGTTCAGGAGGTACTGAATGGTGTTGCTAGAGGGTGAGGTTCAGGAGGTACTGAATGGTGTTACTGGAGGGTGAGGTTCAGGAGGTACTGAATGATGTTTCTGGAGGGTGAGGTTCAGGAGGTACTGAATGGTGTTGCTGGAAGGTGAGGTTCAGGAGGTACTGAATGTGTTGAAGGGTGAGGCTCAGGAGGTACTAAATGGTGGTGGAAGGTGAGGTTCAGGAGGTACTGAATGGTGCTGGAAGGTGGGGTGATGGAGGAGCTGAATGGTGTTGGAGGGCGAGGTGATGGAGGTGCTGAATGGTGTTGGAGAGTGAGGTGATGGAGGTACTAACTGGTGGTGTTGGAGAGTGAAGTGGTGGAGGTACTAACTGGTGGTGTTGGAGAGTGAGGTAGTGGAGGTACTAACTGGTGGTGTTGGAGAGTGAGGTGGTGGAGGTATTAACTGGTGGTGACGAAGAGTGAGGTGGTGGAGGTAGTAACTGGTGTTGGAGGCAGAAATGGTGGAGTTACTAACTGGTGGTGTTGGAGAGTGAAGTGATGGAGGTACTAACTGGTGGTGTTGGAGGCAGCGTGGAGGGTGAGCAGCAACACTGGCGCTGTGTTCTCCTTGACGAAGACTTGGTAGGAAGGCTGAGAGAAGGCAAGGTTGCCAACCCCAGTCAGCTGCGTCACTGACAAAAAAAAAAAAAGCGATATACATTAGTTTATTATATTATCATCATTATTATGTCTGCTTTTTAAGATGTTTTATCTTCACATACTTAGCAAAAATATTCACTAAGTATATTGTAAGGTAATGAAGTGGTCAGCAGGTGATGGGGAACAGTTACTTGGTCTGTGTTTCCCGTGTACGAGTGACGGGGTATATGGAGTAAACTAATTAGACACATCCATCAACAGTGTTTCGGTCTCAATATTATACAAATTTATATCATAACTGGTAGTGTGGAGCACTAAGCTGAAAGCTCAGGTTCGATTCCCTTTGTACTTCTTGATTTTCAGTGTTGCATTCATATTACTTTTATGAATTTTTAGAAATGTGAAGAAATTGACAAAAATGAAACACATGTAAAAGAAACCTCATATAATTCTATTTCAGCAGACGACTGAAGTCCAAGTTCTGACTTCTGTCCAAGTGGTTTCCAAATTTTTATCTATCAGCATGACACTTTAAACTTAACATTTATAACAGAATGAATCGAAGAGCTGTTTATCAAAAGCCTTGCAAAGTTCTTTATCAAAGCTTCAATCACAATAGACATTTTAAAATGCTGACAATACCATACCTGCCTATATACGCACCAACATAACACATACGTACTTGGGTATGCATGCAGACAACAATGCACATACATATACGCGGGTTCGCAAGCAGCAAATACACGCAGAAATACACTTTCACATATATAAAATGCAATAACAAATAGGGTTTAAGATGTGAGGAAAGACTGCAGTGTGGACATATCCTGTGGAGCGGAGGGGAGTACATCACCCCCAGCGGGCCGTAAACATGCTGAGTTTGTGTACCTCCATTACCTGTGATGAACGACCAACATAAAGCAAGCAAAACCCAGCACAAAGACGTATCAAAGCGCTCCTCCATATTTACCACCGCCAGCATAAACAGTTTGGCTCCCTCCCATACCAAAATTTACGGTGACTGATTTTTCTCTTCCTCTCTAAGTCGACCCCATGAGCATTGCTTGCATCCCAGACACCTTTACTAGGCTTCCCTCAGTATACCCACTACACCAAAATCTCTCTCCATACCCTTCACCACACATCTCCCCACACACTTTCACTACACATTTTTTCACATACCCTTCCGCCACAACCATCTACACACATGAAATTCATTGCAAGTTTTCATAAAACTGAAACTGATGTGTAGCCTACAGTAAAATATTACACAACACATTAATATAGAGTTACAGTCTGAAGGGGCATCTGAAAAGTAGCATCGGCGCGCCTCTGGCAAGACAGTGGCAGTGAATGATGGTGAAAGTGTTTCTTCTTCTCGGGCCACCATATATATATTATATATATATATATATATATATATATATATATATATATATATATATATATATATATATATACATATGTCGTGCCGAATAGGCAGAACTTGCGATCTTGGCTTAAATAGCAACGCTCATCTTGCCATATAGGACAAGCGAAAATTTGTGTATGCAATAATTTCGCCAAAATCATTCTGAACCTAACGAAAAAATATATTTCACTGTGTTTGTTTAGTATTAAATTATCATAAACAAATCTAAAGTATATTTAGTTGGGTTAGGCTAAAATAAATTGCTCTTGTTATAATAAGGTTAGGTAAGTTTTCTAAGATTCTTTTGTTGCAAAAATAATTTTTTTTACATTAACATTAATGAAAAAATATATCTTTAAACATATAAGAGAAAATTTTAGAAAGGACTTAATTTTAAATGAGTTCTTGCTAATTGACCAATTTTACATATTCGGCACACACACACACACATATATATATATATATATATATATATATATATATATATATATATATATATATATATATATATATATATATATATATATATATATATGCATACACACATGCATCTGAAAATGTTAACAAAATGCCCCAAGGAATTATACAACGTCTGAGAAATAGGAACCAATCAAACGTGATTGGTTCCTATTGGTGCCTTCATGCCATCACGGTCATGAAGGCACGTCCTTAGAAAGAAGAGAAAAATATGAAAAAAAAATCCAATGCCAAAAAAAAAAAATATACGTTTTAAAATATGTTACAATTATAAAATAGATAATATCGTAGTTATTGCAACCCCTGAATGGGTCACAATGTATATAATGTATATTATCTTTTCATATAATTTTATATTGCTTATATTTGCGATAATAGGTAAATCGTAAATATATTGCTTTATATTATTATTTGACTTAGTTACTTTTGTTAGGTAGGATGTAACAGTCATATATTATGTGCTCACAGTTCAAGTCTTGATTGTTTAACTACTGTAATTATCGCTCGTGGCTTGTTACTCTGCCGGCTTCTCGGTGTTGCTGGTCAGCAACTATCCACCGAGCGATCACGTGATATAGGGGGGGGGGGGCGGGTGATCACACCTCGCCTGGAGTAGTCAGTCTGGGCTAGACTCTCTTGGTGGTTGGACGTATTCCTGACAAGATGTGCCTAACTCTTCCTTATTGGCCCTTGTTGGAAGATCGTCTCTGTAGCTTTCTTGTTGGTTCTGTAGAACTCTGTTCACAGAACATTGTCTAGACTTACTGATTTTCGACGTTGTACTGTGGCCATGATCATATAGTGGTTAGTACATTGCGTTGTGTCCGCAATAACCCAGGTTCATACCCTGGTCACGGCACCAGGCTGAATGCTAGAAGGGCAGTCCTTTCTAGTATTCACTGGAGATCTTAGATCTAAGCTTATTAGAAATAGCGTTTTTTGTAACAAATGGGGGACTGTCCGGGATGCTTTTGATCCAAGGTGTTGGAGAAATTGTCCAGTTTGACATACTAGTAACTCTATGGTCAAACACTTTGAGTACTTTCCTAATCCGAAGACTTTGAGTTTTGTTTTTGTACAACATACTAGGTGGATGTATGTACTTGACTGAGTCTCTTGATCCAAGGAGATGGACATGCTGTTTATGAGCTCTAGCTCTAAGACCACCAACACTAAAATTCCTATTAGGATTATAGTTTCCCATAATCACTCTCATTGTACATTTATTTTCGTGATGTATGTCAAAGTGAAACAGTTAATTGATACTCTGACTTTGTCTGAGTTAAGTACATTAAAACTTCAGACATGTTGGAAAGTAGCCAAATATCTCGGTGTGACGTATAACAGGAATTACACAGCAGAAACTGTCAGAGCATTAATTAAAGATATATTGTTTCCTGCTCATACAGAGATGTCTGATTATGATTCAGATACAGAAAGCCTAGTGTCACAATTAGAAAGTATGACTATTTGATGACGTAGAAGAGCAACTACGGCAGAAGTGAGCCTAGTGTCTAAGCCTAGTGAAATTTTGTTCTCGTTCACGCATTCCCGCCTCACTAACACAATAGTACAGTGTAGCTGGTAGTACGACTCAGCCTCATACTAGTACCGTGTATGCTACACCTGTATCTACTTATCCTAGACCAGATCTAGACTCTCTAGGGATGGCTGGACAAGTTGCCCGACCTAAAGAACGTCCAGACTCATTCCTTAGATTCCTTACTCCTCCATTACCCACTGGTCCTATCTCTCAGGAACAGTTTGAGAGGTTGGAACGCCTCATAATGTTGCAGACTGCACAAATAGAGGCACAGATGAAATTGAACGAAGATTTCCAGAGAGAAAATGTTCGTCTTGGAAGACAACAGACTGATAGATCACAGGACACATTTAATGTGCAGAAAGCTGCCTCAATGGTTCCTAAGTTTTTGAGAGTGACTTAGACACCTATTTTGATGTGGTTGAGAACCAGGCATGTGCTATGAACTGGCCACGTAAGCACTGGGCTACCCTGTTGCACACAGCTTTGACAGGAAGAGCTCAAACTTGTACTGCTGCTTTACCATTTGCCAAGTACATTAGTTATGACGCTGTCAAGCAAACTATTCTACAGACATATAACTTGTTACCTGTAAGTTATCAACGTGCATTTTGTACATTACAACGACGACAAGATCAAACTTGTGTAGAGTTTGCTCGTGAGAAAAAAGTTGCATTTGAGAGATGGTGTAGATCTGCGAAATGTAACAATTACGACAGTCTTGTTCAGTTGTTACTACACGAAGAGTTTAACAACTGTATGTCTGCTGATATACAAGTATATCTGATCGATCATACTACCTCGGATATTCTGGAAACTGCAGCATTAGCAGACAGTTACGAGATTTCTCACAAACTTGTACGTACTAAAAAACAGAGAAACAAGGCAACTAAAAATTGTCCTAGAAGTTGGCAACCTAAATCAGCTGCTCATTGCCGGCTTGATGTACCTGCTACTGTAACTTCTCGTACCTTTACCAGGAAAACTCACAATCCTGAATCTGTCTCTGTGGCTAGACAGAAGTCTGATACCGAGAAGAAGAAAGTTAAATGTACCTATTGTAACAGAAAAGGACATGCTAGAGAGTGTTGCTGTAAGTTAGAAAGAGATACGAGAAGCAGTCGTGTGGCTGGCGTCCCCACACATGTCGTATCCTCTTCCGAGCAACAAACGCACCAAAATCCTAGTAATACCTCTGATCCCACTGTTTTAGATAATATTACTCAGAACAGATGACTAGCGTCAGAAAGTGTATCTGACGAAAAGATTCGTTCAGCGATGAGCCCTTACTTATCAAGAGGTAAAGTAGGATTTGACGAATCACATCTAACTGAGATAATTACTTTCAGAGACACTGGCAGTTATCTCATGTTATTAAGAGAAGATGTACTGCCCATAACTGATAATACCTATACCAAGATAGATGTATTGTTAGAAGCCTATGGAGGGGCTGTTATAAAAGTACTTCTGTACAAAGTTTGCATTGAAACAAGCTATTATACTGGTTATATTTCAGTGGGTATATTCAGTTGTGTATTTCCCATCAGGTCAGTGGACTCTTTGATAGGGAACGATATCCTTCATGCTGGTATATGTAAAGA